TGCTTGATATTAAACTTATTAGTAGACAGTTAATTTTAAGAATTAGATGTTAAAGGTACGAATTAGAAGTTCTTATTAACACATAGATGTTAACTATATAGATTAGCATGTAACTTTAACAAATAGATGTTAGGTATATGAGTTGGCTATGAATTTTAATAGACAAATGTTAATTTTGAACGTTGGCTGTTAAGTTTACCAAATGGTTGTTATATATGCCCATTGGTTGTTAAGTTTAGAGTATAGCTGTTAGGGGGCTTTTTGTGAATTTTTTGGGTTTTAGTACAATTTTAGAAATTCATGGGGCGGCTTGCAAAATTTCATTGTGTAAGATTCACAGCTAATATTTTAACAATCAATCCATACAATTATATGTTTGTCTAATTTAATATTTATGTACCCCTATGATATCTTCTTTGTACATGACCTGTTACTATCAAAGTCCAAGAAACAACATCTCTCTTTGGCTATTTAGATACCAACAATCACACAAGTCACATAAATATTATAGATTAAAGCATACGTTTAACAATTTGGGAAAAAGTTATGAGTATTTAATTTGAGTTTTGTGTTTACAATTAGGATGCTTGTTTGAGTATGTTAATAATGGGAATTTGGATCAGTTGTTTCATGGAGAAATAGGAGAAATTAGTCCATTTATGAGTTTGCATGTTAAGTATAAGCATTTTAGTTGTTCAAAGACTCGGCGACATTAGAGCTAACATGACCATATCTGAAAATATTTCAATTAATAATATTTGAATGTATTCTAAAAGTTATCACTTTTAACAGTTATGATATAATCTGAACACGTACACCATTATCTTAACAGGTATACTATTATCTTAATAGGTATATCATAACCTTAATAGGTATACAATAATTTTAACAGGTACACCATAACCTTAACAAGTACACCGTAACCTTAACAACTATGGCTTAACCTTATCAGGTATGAATAATATTAACAGATGCACATAATCTTCACAGGTACACCACAATCTTCATGATGCTAATTTTGCTTTGTAAAATACTTCATCTTTTAGGAGATGGAATACCCATCATTAATATTAATAAAAAAAGAGATCTTTTTAACATACAACTAATAATCTTAACATCTAAGCTTTAGCATTAGCACTCAATTTTACTTTTGTAAGAATAAAAACCAAATAGGATGCCCTCATAAAAAAACCACAATATTTTCAACTTATGCACGATGCGATTAGTCAATATCCTCTTGAAAAAAAAATCAACAGCTTCAAACCTTAACAGGTATGGATAAAATTAACAGGCACAACATAATCTTCGTCGGCACACTATAATGTTCATTATGCTAATTTTGCTTTGTAAAATACTTCATCTCTTAGGAGATGGAATATCCATCATTGATATCAGTTAAAAAAGAGATCTTTTCAACATACAAGTGATAATCTTAACATCTAAGCTTTAGCATTAGCACACAATTTTCCTTTTGTAACAATAAAAACCAAATAGAATGCCCTTAATAAAAAAATCACAATATTCTCAACTTATGCACGATGCAATATCCTCTTGAAAACATTAACAACTTCAGCAAATGACTAACCTTCAATACAATTATACTGGTCCAAGAAATCCAAGAAATCATCTCTTCGACATTTCATCAAACTTCTTGGTATCCTCTAATATTCCATATTTCAGCAATCTTCTAAACATAGCGTTTCAAGAAACCACATACATCTCCTCAATTCCAACAACACCACCCCTTTAGCATCACCCCAATAAATGTCCAAGAACTCCAAACTAAATGTACATTTTCATCAAAAGGTTTGAAACCCAAGCATCCAAATCTAAATATAGCTAGAAAACAAACAATGTGCTAATGGAGAGGGTGGAGAGTAGAGAGCGGTGGAGAGGATGGATAGCAACAAAGAGGGCGTAGAGTGGTGGAGAAGGTGGATGGTGAAGAGTGGTGGAGAGAATGGAGGAGGAATGCCTGCAGCGGAAGTCCATACTTCGAGGACGACAGCGATAGGTGGAGGTGAGATATAACAATGATTTCTTTAGTGGTGGTGTGGTGGCAGAGGAGGGAGGAATGATAGTGGTCATGGTGGCAGAGGAGAATTAGGGTTAGGGTTTGGGGGCATGGGGTTTTAATGTGGAAGAGAAATTGATGATGATGATTTGGTGGAAATGGGGGAGGAGCCAATTTGGGGTCTTGAGGAGGTGGCTTTGGTCGGCGAAGGAATCAGTAGCGACGAGGGAAGGGAGTTCAACGAAAGAGATGGCAGCAGAAGTTTGAGACAT